GAGCTGCAAGGGGCTTTCAGGAAGGGAGCTGGGTAAAGAACAAAGCACTTGCTGGCATAAATGGACAGCGTCCTTGCTCTGGAGAATGAGGCTTCAGAACATCTCACAGCGGCCCCAGAAGGGCATTCCAATGCCACCCTCCCCAGGCAGACGGACGGGACTCATTCCTTCCCAGTGACAGGAACTAAGTTACGCAAATCAATGCACCCATCAATCGAGCATCTCAAGATCTCAATAAACAGGAGGCAACAGGAACACCCAAAAGAGGGCAATAAATGAGTGCAATTTAGTTACATTCTGTGTTGCAGCAGAGAAGAGCCTTGGGATCATCAAAACCCAAATCTGGCTGGGTGCAGTGGCTCACGCCTGGAATCCCAATACTTTGGGAGGCCGAGGCGGGAGGATCACTTGAGGCCAGGAGTTTGAGTCCAGCCTGGACAAAATAGTGAGACCCTGTCTCTCCAAAAAAAAAAATTAAGCCCAAATCTAAAACAGGGACCCAAGCTGGGCCCCTGGATCCTAACCACAAAGGACAGACAAGCTCCCAGCCTGTTTCCCTCCCTCCTTCCCATCAACTAATAAAACATAAACTCAGCTTCCTCACCTGCAGTTGGCTTCTACCTTCCATACTCCCCTAAACCTGCTCTTATCAAGATAATCAGTTCTTACTGCTACATCTAACACTTTTCAGTCCTCAGAGACATTTCACACAAGTGATCTCCTCCTTCAGTGCTCTCTCTGATTTCCGGGAGGCCACACTCAGCCGGTGTTCCCGCTCTGAGGATTCTTTCTATCCCTTTTTCAGGGCTCTCTCTCGCTCAATCCAGATTTTAAGCCTGGTACCCCTTGGGGTCATCATCAATGTCTTCCCTTATCACTATGTAGACTCTCCTGGATTGGTCTTCTCCATCAAAGGGGACTTCAGTGACCACCAGGAGGAAGGACCCTCCACACCCCTTGCCCTGAGCCGCATTGCTGTCCTGGTCTACACGCCCCCAACCCGACTGCACATCCCCAGGCACCTCCTGCTCCACCTGCCCATGACAGATCGTTCTCTGCGATCACTTCATCTGTGCAAGGGGAAATTACAGCACTGGAGTCAACCTCCCCGTCCCTCACCCTCCTTGCCACACACAGGTGTCAGGGTTTTTTTCTTTTCGAGATTTGTCTTTGGTCTGCCCCAGGCCTTTGTCCCAGTTCCCACCGACTTAGGTCCTGGCACCCTCATCTCTCGCTGTCCTTCTGCCTCACCCTCAAAGCTCCCCTCTGCCAGAGGGATCTGAGCACATCACCACCAGCTTCAAACCCTCCAGCCCCCGCCTTACTCCCTCATCCTGTGAATAAACTCCAAATCCCTTCCTGGGTCACACTGGCCTCTCCAGACCCCGGCCGCAGCTTACCTCGCTGGCCCTATCTCGCCCCCACCCATGCTCCCTCCAGCTTTATGCTGGGATTACAGGAGTGGCCACTGCGCCCGCCCAACCAGGCTAATTTTGAAATTTTTGTAGAGACAGGGTCTCACTATGTTGCCCAGGCTGGTCTCAAACTCCTGGACTCAAGTGATCCACCCACCTCGGCCTCCCAAAGTGCTGTTATTATAGGCATAAGCCACCCAGCCACGTGTTTTATAACAGGTGGTTTATATATATAACACCCAGCCAGGTATTAAAGAATGATCTGCTAGGTTTGGTGATGGCCTACAAAGGCAGGAATTCACTGATTCAGCATTTTGGACATTTACAGTGTGCCAGGTATGGCTCCAGGCACTGAAATACACCAGGGGACAAAATGAAGTCCCCATCCTCATGCACTGGAGAGTGCAAACAGGGGAGTGTCCAGAAACAAAGAGCCTAGGGCAGTGGCACATGCCTGTAATTCCAGCACTTTGGGAGGCCCAGGCAGGATTGTTGGAGGCCAAGGAGTTCAGCACCAGCCTGGGCAACATAACAAGACCCCATTTCTACAAAACATAAAAAAAAATGAGCTGGGCATGGTGGTGTGCACCTGTAGTCCCAGCTACTCAGGAGGCTGAGGTGGGAGGATTGCTTGAGACTAGGCGTTGGAGGCTGCAGTGAGCCATGATCATACCACTGCACTCCAGCCTGGGCAACAGAGTGAGAAGCTGTCTCCAAAAAGAAAGAAGAAAAAGAAAGGAGAGAGAGGGGGGGAAGAGAGAGAGAGAGAGAGGAAGAGTGGGGAGAGAGGGGGGTCAGAGGGGGAGAGGGGGGGGAGAGAGAGAGAGGGGGGGAGAGAGAGAGAGAGAGAGAGAGAGAGAGAGAGAGAGAGAGAGAGAAAGAAAGAATAAAAAGAAAAACAACCAGAACGGCAAATAAAAAAGGAGAGCCCCATCCTGCGCATGTGGCTTCAATCCTCGGCACCTGGGTTGAGCTGCCGCTCAAATGCTAAGGAATGAATGAATGCGCCAGGGCAGGGCTGGAGGGAAATCGAGGATAGCTGGATGCTTTTGGTGCCAGGTGATGGCGCCAGAGAGCACAAGATCCGGTCCCCGCGGGCCCCGCCAGCCCCGCTGCACCGTCGCTCCCCACCTTCATGCGGCTGTAGACGGTGGAGACGGGTGTGACCGGGTGGTGCTGGTGGGAGCCCAGCAAACCGCAGAGGCCACAGATGAGCTCCTGGTCCTTCTCGCAGAAGAGGCTGAGCGGGTTCCGGTGGTGCACGCAGACCTTGGGCTCCGGGTCCCCAGGGAGCCTCAGGGCTTCGATCACCCGAGCCAGGGAGACGTTGGGCGGCGGGGAGCTGCTGCCGTCCACCGCCTGCCGGCACACGGGGCAGCGCAGCTCCGCGTCCAGGTGGCAAGACAGGGAGACCAGGCAGCCCTTGCAGTAGGAGTGGCCGCACCGCAGCATCAGGGGCTCCTTGAAGACCTCCAGGCAGATCGGACACTGAAGCCGGTCCTCCAGCTCCGGCAGGCTCACCTGCCAAGCCATCCACACTCACTGCCCGGGATGAAACACAGGCATCCATCCTCAGTCCTGTGCTCTCCCCTCCCTCTGTCCAGCACTCACCCACCACCCTCAACCCTAAGGAGCACCAGACTTTTAGAGGAAACACTTTCAGTCCTGGATCCCAGTCCTAACTCACATGACCTTGGGCCCCAGTTTCCCCAGCTGTAAAACAAAAGACTGCAATGAAAAAACTGGTCCCTTAAAGATACGTGTGTGTGTGTGTTTACATTTTTTACTCAAATTTGGAGACAAGCATGAAAGGGGCCATCTGCAGGGTCATTTGCAATGACACTAATAATGCAAGGTCCAGCCCCAGCAGGCATCTGGACCTAGAACTGGGCAGCAAAACCCAGGCAAGCTCTCCGCCTTCTAGATCAGTTCCCAAACTTTTGAGAAACTGTTGAAAGCATAGGTGTAATAGATCTAGAGGTCCACCTTCAAAAGTGCTTCAGGGGGTCTCCAGTGAGACCCAGAACTCTACATTTACAGGTGACACTCCCAGGTAATTCTAGAGAGCCTGGAACCTACAAGGCCTCTACCCTGATCTCCCACCTGCTCCCCTACTAAAGCTTGTCAGTGAGACAGGAAGAGCACCAGCAGCCCCCAGGGAGAGCCCAACATTGGAATACCTGGCTTCTCACGATCCGCTGGGCCTCCCACTATGGCCTCAAGCCAGCATCACTCGTCCGATGGATCAAGAGATTGCTCAGCCTTTTCTTCTTCCCAGCAGGGAAACAGCAGGCACAGAGACAGAAGTGGGGAGTGCAGCTGGACGCCTGCACCACTGCCTGGTCTCTGCCCCTTCTCTCCTCCCCTTTCCCAGCGACACTCCTGTGTCCCCAAGGTCACCAGAATCAGGTGGAAACTGGGTTACATCACGGGACTGGGGAGGCAGCCTTTGTTGGGCCTGCTCTGATAACATTCAGGTGCTGGCCTTGGCCACTGTGGGGGAGGGGCAGAAACAGAGGGACTGGGCACACCGTCCACACCTCACGACCCGGACAGGAGCAGACAGGTGCTGGGAAACAGTTCTTTCTGAATCTCAAACTCTTGCTCTTACTCTCCTTTTTTGCGGGGAGGGGCTTGCGGGGCGGGGGAAGACAGCATCTTGCTCTGTTGCCCAGGCTGGAGTGCAGTGGCGTAGTCACAGCTCACTGCAGCCTCCAACTCCTAGGCTCAAGCCATCCTCCTACCTCAGCTGCCTGAGTAGCTGAGACTGCAGGCGCATGCCACCATGCCAAGCTAATTTTTTAAAAAAATTTTGTAGGTACTGGGTCTTGCTTTGTTGCCCAGGCTGGTTTTCAGCTTCTGGGCTCAAGCAATCCTCCCTCCTTGGCCTCCCAAAGTGCTGGGATTACAGGCATGAGCCTTACTGCACCCAGCCTTCCCTCTCTCTCTCTTTTTTTCTAATACAAACTGGCAGATGATGATTCGATCTCTCTATTTAATTTTTAAATTTTATTGTTTATTTTAGTAGAGACAGGGGTCTTGCTTTGTTGCCTGGGCTGGTTTTGAACTCCTGGCCTCAAGCAATCCTCCCGCCTCAGCCTCCCAAAGTGCTGGGATTACAGGTATGAGCCACCAAGCCTGGCCTCTTTTTTTTTTTTTTTTTGAGATGGAATCTTGCTCTGTCACCCAGGCTGGAGTGCAGCGGCGCAATCTTGGCTCACTGCAACTCCGCCTCCTGGGTTCATGCCATTCTCCTGCCTCAGCCTCCCCAGCAGCTGGGACTACAGGTGCATGCCGCCACACCCAGCTAATTTTTGTATTTTTAGTAGAGACAGGGTTTCACCATGTTAGCCAGGATGGTCTCGATCTCCTGACCTTGTGATCCGCCCACCTCAGCCTCCCAAAGTGCTGGGATTACAGGCGTGAGCCACTGCGCCCGGCCACTTAGATTTTTTAAATTGAGGTATAACATATACAAGTGTGCAAATCTTAACCACACAGCTTGATAAACACTTGATGTTTATCCTCCCACCTCAGCGTCTCGAAATGCTGGGATTACAGGTGTGAGCCACCGAGCCTGGCCTCTTTTTTTTTTTTTTTTTTTAAAAAGAGATTTGAAGGTAGCTTTTTTAAGATTTTTTAAATCAAGGTATAACATATACAAGTGTGCAAATCTTAACCACACAGCTTGATAAACACCTGCTGTATGTACGCACACACTCAAGAGCAAGATGTAGTGTTTCCAGAAAGCTCCCTCCTGACTCCTCCCAGTCATAACTCCTAACAAGGACAGCCACTGTCCTTATTACCATGCTGTCATGTGGCCTGTTTTTGAATTTCACATAAACAGCATCATATAGAATGTACTCTTTTGTGTCTGGTTTCTTTCACTCGATAATATTGAATTGTGAGGTTTTTTTTGTTTTGTTTTGTTTTTAATGTGAAGTCTTTCAACGTTTAGAAATTCAATGACACTCTGCTACACACGTTTTGTTTGTTTTTTGAGACAGTTTCACTCTTGTTGCCCAGGCTGGAGCACAGTGGTGTGATCTCCGCTCATTGCCACCTCCACCTCCCGGGTTCAAGTGATTCTCCTGCCTCAGCCTCCCAAGTAGCTGGGGTTACAAGCGCCCGCCACCACACCCAGTTAATTTTTTGTATTTTTAGTAGAGATGGGGTTTCATCATGTGGGCCAGGCTGGTCTCAAACTCCTGACCTCGAGTGATCCACCTGCTTTGGCCTCCCAAAGTGCTGGGATTACAGGCGTGAGCCACCACACCTGGCCTGTTACACAGTTAATGAATATTATGGTCATAATATACTGCTGTGGTTTGAATGTATCCTCCTAATTTCATGTGTTGGAAACTTAACTCCCAATTGGGGCAGTATTGAAAGCTGGCTACAGCCTACACCTATAACCCCAGCACTTTGCGAGGCCAAGATGGGAGGATCGCTTGAAGTCGGGAGTTCAAGACCAGCCTAGGCAACAAAGCTACAAACCATCTTTCCAGCAAGTTAAAAACTAAAAAATAAATTAGCTGGGCCTGGTGGTGCACATCTGTAATCCCAGCTACTGGGGAGGCTGAGGCAGAAGGATCTCTTGAGCCCAGGAGGTGGGGGCTGCAGTGAGCTGAGATCCATCACTGAACTCCAGCCTGGGCTCAGAGCCAGCCTCTGTCGATCAATCAATCAATCAGTCAATCAGTGTCTCGTCTGGGCCTAAATTTCTCTAGAACACAATGGAAGAAGGAAAGTGGAAGAAGGTGGATGTAACCCACAGCTGGGAGCTCTGAACTCTGCTGGTGGCAGATGGCTCTCATGTCCTCACCAGGTTGCCCTGCAATCACATGCTGCATCCTTTTTCCTGAACCTGCCCCACGTGCCCCACCACGCAGCCACTCCGAGGGTTCCTTCAAGGGCGGCAGCCCTGTCACGTGTTCCAAAAGTGCTCCCCTGTGTCCTGACAGCCTTGCCATGTGTCCCATCATGCCCCACATGCTCCCACTGTGTGCCCCACCTCGCACCCATGCCCCATCATGTTCTGCGTGCTCGTTAGGTGCCCCAATATTCCCCGCGCGCTCCCATTACGTACCCAGCCTCACACCCCTGCAAGTTCCCCATCATGCTTTCTGTCGCTCCAGTTAGGTGCCCCATCCTGCCCCACGCGCTCCAATTACGTGCCCCACCTAACCGCCCCACGTCCGTGCCCCATCATGCCCCGCACGCTCCGGTTACAGGCCCCGCCTCGCGCTCCCTCACGTGCCCCATCATGCACTGCGCGCTCCCATTATATGCCACCACCTCACGCCCCTGCACGTGCCCAACGTGCCCTGCGTGGTCGCGTTACATATCCCATCACGTTTCGTGCGCTCCTATTACCTGCCGCACCTCGCACCTCACGGCGCGGCCTATGTAGTTCCAGAGCTCGCGAGAGCCAGGGCCGTTGGCGACAGTTGGAACGAAATGATGAGTGCCTTCTCGTGGCCCCAGAATGGAATGCCGCCATCGGTAGGGTCTGCCGGGTATAAAGGGGCCTTCGGAACCCCACCAAAGTCACAGCTAGGGAGGGCAGCGGGGCGCACCAGGCTGAAGGCTCACGCCACAGGGAGGGCAGCAAGGACATGGGGGGAAGCGCCTTAAACCAGGGGGTCCTGGAAGGGGACGACGCCCCCGGCCAGGTGAGGGCCCGGACGTTTCGGGGCGTCGATGACGAGGGGTGGCCGGGTGGGTCTGAGGCTCTGAGGCCTGGCTTTCATTCTCCACCAGTCCCTGTACGAGCGGTTAAGTCAGAAGATGTTGGACATCTCGGGGGACCGGGGCGTGCTGAAGGATGTCATCCGAGAAGGAGCTGGAGACCTGGTGGCGCCTGATGCTTCGGTGCTAGGTGTGCCCTGGGGCGGTTTGTCCGCAGGATCCATGTCATCGCACTCTCTGTTGGGGAAAGAGAGGCCACATTTTCAAAAAGCATTTAATGGGGTTGGAAATGCTTTGTTTGAAGTGGATTTTTGTTTTTGAAATGGGGTCTCGCTGAATTGCCCAGGCTGGAGTGCCGTGGTGCAATCATAGCTTACTGCATTCTCCACCTCCTGGGCTCAAGTGATTCTCCAGCCTCAGCCTCCCAAATAAGGGATTTACAGACGTGATCCACCATGCTCGGCTAATTTTTAATATTTTTGTAGAGATGGGGGACTCTGTATGTTGCCCAGGCTGGTCTCAGACTCCTGGACCCAAGTGATCCTCCCACTTCAGCCTCCCCAGTAGCAGGGATTACAAGCGTGAGCCGCTGCTTCCGGGCTGAATTAGTTTTTTTAAGAGGAAAGCTAGGGACCCCTATGTCCCCTTTGCGTGATGCTTCCACGAAGCTCTTGAACCTCTGAGCCGAAGGGCAGGCACCCAAAATGCAGAGAGAAGATTTTTTCCTGTACCTCAGGGTGTCGGGCAGCTTAAGCTCATCTGATCGCGTTGTTTCTGTGTGATAATGAGACTCGATATTATAGAGGCATGGGTGTTTTGGGTCCATTTTCTTTACATTCTTTCTTCTATCCTAGTGAAATACTCTGGATACCTGGAACACATGGACAGACCCTTCGATTCTAATTACTTTAGGAAAACTCCTCGGCTAATGAAACTTGGAGAGGGTAAATTCAGAGTGGGAGCTGGAGAAGAAGGGATTGTTTAGGGGCGAGATGAAGCAGCATACCTCAGGCTATTAAGACTGCTCAAAGCGCGGATTCTTTGAGTTGGCTTTGCTGAGGCTGGGTTTTGGTAAAACAGCCATGTTCTCTCCCCTTGAGACCTGGGCATTTGGGAGATGGCTTAACGGGCAAGGTATCTTTGCACTCTGACTTAACTAACCACTGGGAATGTTTCTGTGTTCATTAAGTAAAAATCGATTGAATGCTTGCTTCTCATAATACATGGTGAAAAGAGAAGATGTACTCAGAAGATTAGAACATCTCCACCGTTAAGGACCTCACAATGTAGTGGAGGAGACTGACCTGCACTCAGCTCACTTGGTAGAATCGGATGAGTGCCTGGGAGGTGAAAGCAGTGTTGTGGGTGTGCTTAATGAAGGCATGATTAATTCTAGCTGGGAGGTTCAAGGAAGGCTTCCTGGAATAGGCGGCATTTGAACTGAGCCTGGAAGTTTGAATAAAATTTCTATCGGTAGAAGCTGGGCGTAGGCTCAGGAGGAAGACATTGCAGGAAGAGGGAACTGTGTGAGGGAGACATGGAGGCCAAAGTACTGCTGACTTAGAAGGGGAAGAAACTGATAGCATTGAGCAGGATACTGAGCAAGCTTCACCCACCTTTTTTGTGTCTTCTTACAGATATTACACTGTGGGGCATGGAGCTGGGTCTTCTGAGCATGCGGAGAGGAGAGCTGGCCAGGTTTCTGTTCAAACCGAACTACGCCTATGGAACTTTGGGCTGCCCTCCCTTAATCCCCCCAAACACCACTGTCCTGTTCGAGATTGAGCTGCTTGACTTCCTAGACTCTGCTGAGTCGGACAAGTTTTGTGCTCTCTCAGCTGTAAGTTCCAGAGCACAGATGTCAGCACTTTACAGAGAGACGAATGGGTTGCTGTTTTTGGTAATTCTTCCAGATAGCCTGCCCTGCTGCTGATTGTCCGCTCCAGGGTCCCCCCGCGGCGCCTGGGCGGTGGTGGCGGAGTTCCTCTGCTTCCTAGTCTGTGTTTGTCTTAGTAATAGCTCTCATGTGTAGATAAATGCGCTGGGGCGAGGTAAGGCTGTGAGTTTAAGGATTTGTGGTTTGAACTGATTTTCCGGTCACCCTTTGCCTAGTTCTCCCTGTGAGACAGCACTTGCTTTTCATCATTGTTTGATTTCCAGCAAGGCAGGCATTGGTAGCTCATAACTAGGGTGACTGGATAATTGATTGTCCAGCCCAGCACAGGTGAGAGTAAAAGGGGCTATTCACTGGAGGGGTTACCCATGACGTCGGGTTTAAACTGAGACAGTCCCAGGCAAACTGGAATGTATGACCACTGTTCTTACCACTTAAGTCTTGCCTCCTCTTTGTAGCCTTTCACTTAACCCTGTCCCTTAGATGCAGGGCTTCTGACCCCGTCAGCAGTCACAGGCACTGTCTTTATCATGCCATCTCACACTGACTCTATCTGTGGCCTTAGAGGTCCTTCCCAGGTTTTGTATCTTCACGTGGTATCTCTCCTGCTAAATTGTCAGCACTCCAAGTGAGGGAGCTCACCCTTTTTTCATCCTTCCAAGATTAGAGTTTCTTGCAGATGCCTGGTCCCACCTGTGGTGTACTGGTTTAGGATCTGTGGGGGTGGGGCCGGGACCAAAGAGGCTCTATGGGTGACTCTGAAGATGGCCAGGGTAGAGCATCACGACCATAAAGACCACCAGGGCCCTGAGCAAACCAAGACCTGTTCGATGCTTGGTGGCCAAATAGTGGTTTTGAGCACTGACTTCTGTGCTTGGCAAGCTCCATCAGTTTCTAATTCCATGGGAGACTGCTTCCTCAGAGAACATCGGGGGAAGACTGAAGAAGTAGACTTCCTTCTGGCTCTAGTGTGTAAAATGGGACCGGTTATAACACCTGTGTGGCTTCTGTCAGATTCAGAAGTGACTCCAACAGAGAAGGCTGTAAACAGAAGTACATGATCTGAAAAAGAAGAGCTCACAGCTGTAGTAACACTTCTTTCTTTCAATTACTTTTTTTTTTTTTTTTTAATGGAGATGTGTTCTCACTGTGTTGCCCAGGCTGGTCTCGAACTCCTGGGCTCACGTGTACTAACACTTTGCTTGTGGTGTTACGGCTTTTGGGTTTCCCTGCTGAGTATTCCTGTCTCTGGTCCTCAGGAGCAGCAAGACCAATATCCACTTCAGAAGGTCCTTAAAGTGGCAGCTACAGAACGGGAGTTTGGCAATTACCTTTTCCGCCAGAATCGTTTCTGTGATGCCAAAGTGAGATATAAAAGGGTAAGAATGATTTAAAAGTTAAGTGTAAGTTTAGATCCTGAAAACTTCCTTGTTTAAAAAACACAGACTTTTTTTTTTTTTGAGACAGTCTTACTCTGTCGCCCAGGTTGGAGTGCAGTGGCACAATCTCGGCTCACTGCAACCTCCACCTCCCGGGTTCACACCATTCTCCTGCCTCAGCCTCCCGAGTCGCTGGGACTACAGGTGCCCGCCAGCTAATTTTTTAATATTTTTAGTAGAGATGGGGTTTCACTGTGTTAGCCACGATGGTCTCGATCTCCTGACCTCATGATCCACCCGCCTCGGCCTCCCAAAGTGCTGGGATTACAGGCGTGAGCCACCGCGCCCGGCAAAAAAACAGATTTTTGTCTTTCTCCTTACTTTCCATGAGCAGCCATTAAGAAAAACCTCATTTTAAAAAACCCTCATGCCAGGCCAAGGCGGGTGGATCACCTGAGGTCAGGAGTTTGAGACCAGCCTGGCCAACATGGCGAAAACCCATCTCTACCCAAATATAAAAATTAGCCGAGTGTGGTGGTGGGTGCTTGTAATCCCAGCTACTTGGGAGGCTGAGGCAGGAGAATTGCTTGAACCTGGGAGATGGAGGTTGCGGTGAGCCAAGACAGCATAATTGCACTCCAGCCTGGGGAACAAGAGTGAAACTCCATCTCAAAAAAAAAAAAAAGGTCTTGTTAGTTCTGAGCTCAAAGCTAACAACAACAACACAATCTTATTACCACTTAGGTTCCTGTTCCTTTCTACGTGACCTGTGTTTTTTCCTCTGTAGAGATGAAGATCATTTGTTCCGGCGTTCCTAAATTTTACAGTGATGTGCCTCTGTGTGTATGTATTTTAAAATTTGTGTTGAGCCCATGGTGTATCTTTCCATTCAGGAAACTTTTCCTCCACTCTGGGAAACTTTCTTGAGTTATTTCTTTGGTACTTTACTCTTGTTCCCTCTGCCGTCTTTTTCTGGAACTCCTATTATCAGACCTCCTGCACTGAGCTTCTGGCTGTCCCTACCCCCGCAAACTAGTTTCCAACTTTTCTCCTGTTTGTGTCATTGTCTGGAAGCTTTCCTTGACTTTTGGCCACCTCTTCTGATGCATTTTTCATTTAAAATTGGGGGGCCAGGCACAGTGGCTCACACCTATAAGTCCAGCACTTTGGGAGTCCCAGCTGGGAGGATGGCTTGAAGCCAGGAGTTAAAGATCAGTCTGGGCACCATGGCAAGATCCCATCTCCACAAAAAATAAATTTTAGGAATTGAAGGGCTCTTTGTTCTTCCCCCGCCCCCCAGCATTCTGTTCTTGTTTCATGCATGTATTATTTTATATATTTAGACTGTTGATTATAATGTAATCTCATTCTTTTTCTGTTTGGTTTTTCTACATATTGGGGACTGTGTCCTTTTGCACTAAGTTTGTCAATGACCTAAAGATGGTTTATTTCTCACTTGTGTAAAAGGCTAGAGTAGAGGCATGCAAGCCAGGGCCAGTTGGTGACTCTGCTCCAGACATTTTCAGATACCCAGTTCTCATTTCTAGGGTGGGACTCTGGCCTTGTAGTCCAGGATGAGGGTCTCTGAGTTCTAGCAGCAGAAGGAAAGAAAGGCTGGGGACATGTACGGCTCTATTAAGGAAGGTTCTTGTCATATGACACTTCTACTGAATTATGTTTTCCAGAACCTGTTCTCCAGGCCTTGCCTAGCTGCAAAGAAGGCTAGCAAATATCTATATTCTGGTTGTATGTATTCCTGGCCAAAAAAAAAAAAGTCCTATTACTATGAAGGAAGGGAGAGCAGCTGCTGGGAGACAGGAGGCCCCCTCTTTCACGGAGGCTTTCCTCAAATGGCTGGTGATCTTTGACCACTAAGATTTAAAAGAGACATCACAGAGCTGATTGGGAACTCCAGGTACTTGGTGGGGCAGTGTGGTAAAAGAGAGATTGCACACGTCAGAGTACGTAGGTGTTTTCTCAGGGTCCATTGAGTCCTCCTCTTTCTGCCCCGTGTACATGCCGAGGGACCAGCATTCTGGGAGCTGAGCAGGGCTGCAGGACAGAGGTTCTCACTGTCTGGTATTGAGATTCCCTTTCATAGCCCCATTACCAGTATACTTACCTTCCTTCCATCTGCTCCAGCCTGCCCCCAAGTCAAGGGCCTCATTGGTTCCATTTTCCCAGAAAGTAGACCTCGTGATTCCTGAGGCCATCTGGACACATAGGGGCAATGAGGGTGGGGGGAACATTTTACCTGACCTCCTTTTTTCAGCCCCACCAGATAGCTCTAATTCCTGGTTCCATCGGTTCCCAGGTCTTTCCAGGTTCTGAGGGGCAGACCAGTCCCTTTTGCATTGGCACCGCTCTGCGAAGTCATCACACTGCCACCCACCCTGACCCCTTGGGTTTATTGGTCCTTTTCCTGTCCTTTGCTTATGTTGGAGTACTACCTGTCTTAGTCCCTTAGGGATGGAGAAAGTAGGGATGTGTGTGGAGCCTGCCTTGCTGAGCTAGAGGTTTTGCATGTCTTTTCCTAGTGCAAAGTTTCTCAGTCTGTGGAGCAGCAGACTGACATTGTCAGCACCACTGTGTCTCCACCTTTTGCTCAGCATTTTCTGGGTCACACAAGAAGTATTGGGGTTCCTGCTTTCAAGGGATTTGAATCTAGGGAGATAAAATGCAGTTCCAACAGCTAACCAATATCTGTGGTCTGAATGTTTGTGTCTCCCCAAAATGTGTATGTTAAAACCTAATCATCTATGTGATATTAGGAGGTGGGGCCTTTGGAAGGTGATGAGGTCATGAGGATGAAACGCTCACGAATGGAGTTAGTGGCCTTATAAAAGAGGTCCCTGAGAGCTGTCTTGTCCCTTCCACCATAAACTCTCGGCACGAAGAAAGATGAGCTAAGGTACAGAAGTGATCAGAACCTATTCAGGCCACAGTTGGTAGATTCCTAGTCAGAAATATAGGTTACATCTAAGGAATCATAGGAGGCGGCCACATTCAGGAAGACATTCAAATATGCGTGGGTGGATTTGGACTTGATGAAGTGGATGGCAGGGAACCACTGAGGAAGAGTGTGTTGATCAAAGTCATGTTCAGGGAAGAGGTAGTAGTTGTGCTGGAGCTCGTGAAAACTCAAAATTTCAATTGTAAAATTTTCAGGAGTTTTGTGCCCTGGTTAATGTCACTTTGGTAGCTTGAAATTAGCTCTGGTAGAAATATTTACAGCACAGGAATAGGCAAATGCTACAAAGCAGGGCTCCGCCTCCCCCCGAGAGCTGGCTATTAAACACGTACCATCATACCACTGTGTGCAGGACATGTCAAATGACAAACTTCATTTTAATGAGGATCTATTTCATGTTAGGCACTGTGCTGGGTGTGCTGTGCCTAAACCTGTTAACGGGATCCAGGAATGTGTTAAAGCAGTTGTGAATTGTGCAAATACAAGAAAAAACTCTGAAAGTACTTCCACAAAATGGATGGTTAGACTTGATGAAGTTGTATATGTAAGAGATCAAGGAAACGGAAGAAGGGAATTACTTGAAGCTTCCTGGTATGAGAAAAAACTTTAAACCAAGGAATAACTGGGAAATGAATAAATGAATGTGTTACTTTCAATTTTGATCACTCATGGGAATGAGCAGGTAAGCGGGCCTGTAGAAAACTGTTTCCGGGTGACAACTTGCTTCACGATTTCATTTGGGTATGAGAGCAGGGTTCAGGCGTGAGGTTCCAGCTTGTGATGTGAACGGGACCCGAATCCATTCTGTAGGTGTGGAGACAGTTGATGGGAACTTGCCTGGTGAATGCCCAGAGTTTAGAGATGGAAGAGAAGACCAAGGAAGGCTCATGACTTTTTGCCTGTGCTGCCATCTCCTGACACATTTTCCAGTTCTGTTTTTTGTTTTTGTTTTTTTTTGTTTTTTGGTTTTTTTTTTTTTGGTTTTGTTTTGTTTTGAGACAGAGTCATGCTCTGTCTCCCAGCCTGGAGTGTATTGGCGCCATCTCAGCTCACTACAACCTCCGCATCCCGGGTTTAAGCGATTCTCCTGCCTCAGCCTCCAAAGTAGCTGGGATTACAGGCACTCGCCACCACGCCCAGCTCATTTTTTGTATTTTTAGTAGAGACGGGGTTTCCATGTTGGCCGGGCTGATCTTGAACTCCTGACCTCAGATGATCTGCCCACCTCGGTCTCCCAAAGTGCTGTGATTCCAGGTGTGAGCCCCCCGCCCCTGGCCTTCCAATTCTTCCATTCTACTTGCACCTTCCAAATGGAGTCCCAGGGAGTGCAGGGTCTGCCTTCACCCATTTTTATTGTTTTACTATTTTTTTGTTGAGATATGATTCACATACCATAAAATGTGTGCTTTTAAAGTATCCAATTCAGTGGTTTTTAGTATATTCACAAAGTTGTGCAGCCATCACCACTATCTAATTCTGGAACATTTTCTTCACCCCGAAATGAAACTCACAATTCTTTGGCCCCAGATAGCCTCTGTTCTCCTTTGTTTCTATGGATTTGCCTATTCGGGATATTTTGTGTAACTATAATTGTCAAATATGCGTCATTTTGTGGCTGGCATCTTTCACTTAGCATGTCTTTGAGGTTCATCCATGTTGTAGCATGTACAAACCTCATTCTTTTTTGTGTGTTTTTTTTTTTTATGAGACAGAGTCTCTGTCGCCCACGCTGGAGTGCAATGGCATGATCTCAGCTCACTGCAACCTCCACTTCCTGGATTCAAACGATTCTCCTGCCTCAGTCTCCCAAGTAGCTGGGATTACAGGCACCCACCACCACACCTGGCTAATTTTTGTATTTTTAGTAGAGACGGGTTGTCACCATGTTGGCCAGGCTGGTCTTGAACTTCTGACCTCAGATGATCCGCTACCTTGGCCTCCCAAAGTGCTGGGATTCCAGGCATGAGCCACCGCGCCCGGTCCCTCGTTCTTTTGTAAGGCTGCTTTTCCGTTGGATGGCTCTGCTGCTCTTTGTCCATTCATCAGTTGGACACGTGGGTTGTTTTCACTTCGTGACTATTATGACTGATGCAGTGAGCATTTATGTACAAGTTCTCATGTGAACGCATGTTTTCAGTTTTCTCGGGTATGTGCTAGAGTGCCATTGCTGGATCGTGTGGGAACTGTCAAAGATTTTTGAGGAACTGCCAAACTTTCCTACAACAGCTGCACCATTACATTCCCACCAGTAATGTGCGAAGCTTCCAATTTCTCCACATCTTCACCAATACTTACTTTATATTTTTAAAGTGAGGCGTCCTAGCGGGGGTGAAGTGGTGTCTCACTGTGGTTTTGATTTCCATTTCCCTGATGACTAATGACATTGGACATATTTTCATGCATTTAATGACTATTTGTCTGTCTTTGGAAAAATGTCTATTCAGAGTCTATGCGTATCAGAAAATTGGGTCATTTGTCTTTATACTGAGGAGTAAATGTTGTTGATGTGCTCTGGATACTAGACCCTCAACAAATATAGGATTTGCAAATGCTCTATGATGTTCTGTGGGCTGTCTCTTCACTTCCTTGGTAGTGTCCTTTGAAACACAGAAGTTTTATATTTTGATGAAGTCTAATTCTTTGGTTATTTGTGCTTTTGGTGTGTTACCTAAGAAACCGTTTTCTAATCCAGGGTCACAAAAAGTTACACCTATGTGTTCTTCTAAAGTCTGATAGTTTTTTTTTAAAGAAATATGAAATGCTTCATGAATTTGCATGTCATCTTTGCCCAGGGGCCATGCCGATCTTCTCCCTGTCTTTCCAGTTTTTAGTATACGTGCTGCCGAATCGAGTGCAGAGTCTTAGAGTGTTAACTTCTCCTTTTAGGGCTGTGCTTCACTTCAGTTAATTTTTACATGTAGTGTGAGGTAAACATTCTTTTGCATGTTGATAGCCTCTTGTCCCAGCACTATTTGTTGAAAAGACAGTTATTTTCTCCCATTGAATGGTCTGGACACCCTTATTGAAAATCAGTTGGCCGGGCGCGGTGGCTCAAGCCTGTAATCCCAGCACTTTGGGAGGCCGAGACGGGCGGATCACGAGGTCAGGAGATCGAGACCATCCTGGCTAACACGGTGAAACCCCGTCTCTACTAAAAAATACAAAAAACTAGCCGGGCGAGGTGGCGGGCGCCTGTAGTCCCAGCTACTCGGGAGGCTGAGGCAGGAGAATGGTCTAAACCCGGGAGGCGGAGCTTGCAGTGAGCTGAGATCCGGCCACTGCACCCCAGCCTGGGCGACAGAGCAAGACCCTGTCTCAAAAAAAAAAAAGAAAATCAGTTGACTATAGATATATAAATCTATTTCTGGACTCTGTGTTCGATTTCATTGATCTACATGTCTGTCCTTATGCTAGTGCTACACTGCCTTAATTACTGTGGCTTTAGGAAGTTTCGTTTTTTTGTTTATTTTTTTCTTTTAGTAAGTTTTGAAATTGGGAAATATGAGTTCTCCAGCTTTGTTCTTTCTCAAAAGTATTTTGGCTATTCGGGGTCCCTTGAATGTCCATATGATTTTTTTTTTTTTTTTTTTTTTTTTTTTTGGAGATGGAGTCTCGCACTGTCACCTAGGCTGAAGTGCAGTGGTATGATCTCGGTTCACCACAACCTCCGCCTCCCATGTTCAAGTGATTCTCCTGCCTCAGCCTCCCATGTAGCTGGAATTACAGGCACCTGCCACCACACCCAGATAATTTTGTATTTTTAGTAGAGATGGGGTTTCACCATGTTGGCCAGGTGGGTCTCAAACTCCCAACCTCAGGTGATCTGCCCGCCTCGGCCTTCCAAATGCTGGGATTGTAAAGGCGTGAGCCACCACACCTGGCCACCGTATGAATTATCTAATCAACTTGTCTGTGTCTACAAAAAAGGATGTTGAAATTTTGGTAGGGTTGCATGAATATGTTGACCAGTTGGGGAAATATTACCATCTTAATATTAAGTCTTCCAATTAATGAACATGAGATGTTTTTCCATTTTATTTGAATCATCTTTAATTTCTTTTTTTTTTTTTTTTTTTTTGAGATGGAGTCTCACTCTGTAACCCAGGCTGGAGTGCAGTGGCGCCATCTCAGCTCACTGCAAGCTCCGCCTCCCGAGTTCACGCCATTCTCTTGCCTCAGCCTCCCAAGTAGCTGGGAATACAGGTGCGCACCACCATGCCAGGTGGTGCGCACCCCATGCCGGTGCCACCACCATCCCCCCCCCCCCCCCCAGCCTGGCGCCCCCGCCAGTGCGCCCACCTCCAGCGCACCACCATGCCATGGTGCGCCCCCGCCAGTTGCCCCACCGCCATGCCCCCATGCCTGCGCACCCCAGCCAGGTGCGCACCACCATGCAAGGTGGTGCGCACCACCATGCCAGGTGGTGCGCACCACCATGCCAGGTGGTGCGCACCTGTAGTCCCAGATACTCGGAAGGCGGAGGTTGCAGTGAACTGAGATCACTCCAGCTTGGCGACACCACTGCACCCAGCTAATTTTTTGTATTTTTAGTAGAGACGGGGTTTCACCATGGTCTCGATCTCCTGAACTCGTGATCAGCCTGCCTTGGCCTCACAAAGTGCTGGAATTATAGGCGTGAGCCACTGCGCCTGGCCATCTTTAATTTCTTTCAACAACATTTTGTAGTTTTCAGTGTGCAAGTGTATCATTTGTTTTAAGTTTATTGCTACTTATGGTATTCTTTTTGAAGCTATTGTAAATGGAGTTGTTTTCTTAATTTCATTTTTGGGTTGTTCGTTGCTAGAGCATAGAAATATACCTGACTTTTGGCAGGGTGTGGTGGCTCACACCTGTAATCCCAGCACTTTGGGAGGCTGAGGTGGGCGGATCAGAAGGTCAGGAGATCAAGACCATCCTGGCCAAAATGGTGAAACCCCATCTCTACTAAAATATGAAAAAATTAGCTAGGCATGGTGGTGCGCACCTGTAGTCCCAGCTACTCGGAAGGCGGAGGTTGCTGTGAACTGAGATCACTCCAGCTCAGCGACAGAACAAGACACCGTCTCAAAAAAAAAAAAGAAAAAAGAAATGTACCTGACTTTTTAGGTTGATCTTGTGTCTTACAACCTATAACAGCCAGTTTTTAGCTCTGATAGTTTTTGTGTGTGGATTGGTTAGGGTTTTGCAGGTAAGGCTGTTACTCCTCTTAACCGTCTGCCTTGCCTCTGCACAGGCCTTGTTGCTTCTGCGCCGGCGATCAGCACCCTCTGAAGCGCAGCACCTGGTGGAGGCCGCCAAGCTTCCTGTTCTCCTGAACCTGTCCTTTACATACCTGAAGCTAGACCGACCCACCATAGCCCTGCGCTATGGAGAGCAGGCTTTGATCATTGACCAAAAGAATGCCAAGGCCCTCTTCAGGTGTGGACAGGTGAGTGGGAAGCCAGTGACTTGGGAATAAACACACAGAAAAAGGTAATAGGAGTGCTCAACTCAGCTACTGCATAAATGCTGTCTTTTTTTTTTTTTTTTTTGAGACAGAGTTTTGCTCTTGTCGCCTAGGCTGGAGTACAGTGGTGCAAATTCGGCTCGCTGCAACCTCCGCCTCCTGGGCTCAAGCAATTTTCCTGCCTCAGCCTTTCAAGTAGCTGGGATTACAGGCGTGCACCATCACGCCCAGCTAATTTTTGTATTTTTAGTAGAGATGGGATTTTGCCATGTTGGTCAGGCTGATCTTAAACTCCTGACCTCAGTTGATCCGCCCACCTTGTCCTCCCAAAGTTCTGGAATTACAGGCGTGAGCCACTGCACCCAGCCAGATGCTGTCTTTTCTAACTGTGCTTTTAAAGTTCTCTCCTTGGAACAGGCTTGTCTTCTCCTGACTGAGTATCAAAAGGCCCGGGATTTTCTAGTCCGAGCCCAGAGGGAGCAACCCTTCAATCACGACATCAATAACGAGCTGAAGAAACTGGCTAGGTGAGCTGTGTTTGCAGGAGCATGAAGAGAGGAGATGGGTGGGGTTGCGACTCTGGTCTGTCCACCTGGGTAAAGGATGGTCTGGCGGTGTTGCCCAGAGTGTTAGGAGGCAGCCCCCTCTGCAGCTGGGTTTCTGAAGTGCTTAGCAGTGCGCTGCACTAGCAGTTCCCAGCAAGCAGGTGGGACAGACTGCCAAACTATACATCTCCATCATCGCCCACCTTTCTGTTTCCCCTACTGCAAATAAGCACCCCCTATAGAGGCGGGAGGGTGTAACTTTTTCTTTTTTTTTTTTTTTATGAGATGGAGTCCCTCTGTGACCCAGGCTAGAGTGCAATGGCCCGATCTTGGCTCACTGCAACCTCCGCCTCCCGAGTTCAAGTGATTCTCCTGTCTCAGCCTCCCAAGTAGCTGGGATTACAGGCATATACCACCACGCCTGGCTAATTTTTTTTGTATTTTTAGTTGAGACAGGGTTTCACCACGTTGACCAGGCTGGTCTCAAACTCCTGACCTCAGGTGATCCCCCCACCTCGTCCTTCCAAAGTGCTGGGATTACAGTCACGAGCTACCGCAACCAGCCCTGATGTCACTTAAAAAGAGTCTTCTGGTGTGCTCTTCCCTGCGTGCTCCACCAAGAACCACTGCTCCTAACCAAGTGCAGAAAGGCTCCTCGTAGGTCCTCGTGCAACCAGAAACAGGCCTTTCGGGTCTGACTCATACCCGTAGATTGACCTCCTTGTTATCCACATGACTAAGCACACCAGTCTTTTCGTGATGTAATTTTTTCTCATTATAGAAGTTTTGTGTTCATTGTAGAAACCCTTGAAAATATCTATGTATAAAGAGGAGTCCCCCATAACTCCATCACTTGGTAATAGGTACATGGCTTTTAAGGTATATGTTCTGTAATGGTGAAATTCTCTACTTGTCTTAATATTAAACATTCAGTCCAGATTGCTAGTTAAATCTTGCTTGGCATCAGTGTCTCAGATGTGAGTATCTCTTAGGTTACATTTCAAGCCTTTTAGGACTTGCCAGCAATTTCCTTTCTGGTATTTAAAAGTATCCTGTCAGATCTGGTCATTATTTAGTGAGAAAATCAGGAGAGGTTAGAGGCTGCTGAGGGTGTGGGGTCTCTTGGTGAGACTCAGCCTGGAGCCTCATGGCCAGAGGCACCTGCCCTTCAAGGCGGCCGTCCTTTCCAATTACGGGCTTTTTGTCCAGGGGCTTGGCTCCTTGGCCAGCTGTGGGAGCTTTCCCTGCCTCCCCACTTCTCCAGCTTACTTCCATCCTTCCCGATTCAGTTTGAGTCCTGATGAATTTTCAGTGTTTCTGGATGTGAGTGGAAAATTCCGGCCACCAGATGTCACCTCCTCCAAACACAGACCTTCTCTAATGAGTGTGTATTTCCCTCTCCAGCGATTACAGGGACTACGTGGATAAAGAGAAAGAAATGTGGCACCGCATGTTCGCGCGCTGTGGCGATGGTTCTACAGCAGGAGAAAGCTGAAGGTAATCAAAGGGCTGGGGTGGCACACAGGCTTCAGGATGGAGAAGCGTGCTGCTCTCCTCCGCCCAGGGTGAATGGTGGCTGTCTGCGGCTGAGGCTGGACGAGGGGTAGACAAGTTCCTTGCTCTAGCAAACAACACAACGGTAGTGCAGGATGCACGTGCTGCATGCCTGCCTTCCCCGTGAGAATAAAGTTCGCCCAGACCTTCGGGTTAAATGTATAGGTTCAGGGGGCCTTGCGCTATTTGTTTGTTTGTTTGTTTGTTTGTTTGTTTGTTTGAGGCAGAGTCTCACTCTGTTGCCCAGGCTGGAGTGCAGTGGAGCTCACTACAACCTCCACCTCCCAGGTTCAAGTGATTCTTCTGCCTCAGCCGCCTGAGGAGCCGGGATTACAGCTATGAGCCACGGTGCTCAGCCTAAATTTTTTTTTTTAAAAAACTTTGTTGACCGGGCGCGGTGGCTCACGCCTGTAATCCCAGCACTTTGGGAGGCCGAGGCGGGCAGATCATGAGGTCAGGAGATCGAGATCATCCTGGCTAACATGGTGAAACCCCATCTCTACTAAAAATACAAAAAATTAGCCGGGCATGGTGGCGGGTGCCTGTAGTCCCAGTGACTCGTGAGGCTGAGGCAGGAGAATGGAGTAAACACGGGAGGCAGAGCTTGCAGTGAGCCGAGATCACGCCACTGCACTCCAGCCTGGGCGACAGAGCAAGACTGTTTCAAAAAAAAAAAAAAAAAACCAAACTTTTTTTTCCATGTTTTATGTGAAACTCTCTTGCAGTTGCTTGTAACATGAGACTATGAGTAGAGTCATGAATGTGATGGTTGATAGAGCTGGGCTTTGACGTGTCAAGCTTCTCTTCATCTTCTTTCTCCTGAGAACTCGAAAGCCTCCAACTTGACTGTGTCTCTAACACATTACTAAAGCAGACAAGATCTGGGTGTCGCAGGGTAGGGATGGGCTTTGGCTCTTAAATTCTGCTAGAGTTAGAGATTTGAAGATGCTGAAAGCAACAGGGAGCGGCATATAACATTCCTCTCGAGCACACACCTAGTAATTTTGCAGGCACGGGGCGGGAGTTCCCAAGTGCATGAGATAACCCTCCAGTCTGAACACTCCAGTCTGGTCTACTATTTAATAAAATTAATGGAAACAAAATCACCTGCCTGAAACACCTGCTTAGCTGCACAGATAACTCTGCTCTCTCCTGAGAGAAGTTAAACAAGGAACAACAAGAAAACAGCTGCTGAACGGGTTCATGGTGATAAATCTCTCCTTTGTTGCTTCCTCCATCTCCCTACAAAAGGGGCTTGAGAGGAGGAGGCAGTGAAAAGGCCTATTCATCCCCAGCATTTTCACAGAGGTCCATAAACTGCTATCTGCACTTTCAGATGCGCCCATCAGCATCACAGGTAAACGTTGCCTTCGTCACTGATGCTGGCCCTGTGAACCCCGGCCTTCAGGTCTTTCAGGGGCCTTTGGAGTACATATTTGCAGGTCTTCAGAACTGCTATGTGAGCCAGAGGACTTCCCTTGTTTGGCCACTTCTAGTATCGAGTAAAGATGAAGGGCAGTGACTGTTTGCCAAACATTTTGGACTGTGACCCCACAAGTCCCATCATGAATGAAGACCCAGCTCTGCCAGGGTCCATCCCAGACCCTGCTTGGGCAGCCCAGCTGGGCAACAGTTTTCCTCTGCATCATGTTTACCTCCCAGCCTTTTCAGTCTGTAGCACTGGAGGCTGCTGATCTTTAGATGGTGTCCTACATATTTCCAACTTGAGCATTTGTCTTACTATCAGCAATGACTGTATTTGTGTTTGAAAGTAGCCACCGGCCGGGCGCGGTGGCTCAAGCCTGTAATCCCAGCACTTTGGGAGCCCGAGACGGGCGGATCACGAGGTCAGGAGATCGAGACCATCGTGACTAACACGGTGAAACCCCGTCTCTACTAAAAAAATACAAAAAACTAGCCGGGCGAGGTGGCGGGCGCCTGTAGTCCCAACTACTTGGGAGGCTGAGGCAGGAGAATGGCGTGAACCCGTGAGGCGGAGCTTGCAGTGAGCTGAGATCCGGCCACTGCACTCCAGCCCGGGCGGCAGAGACTCCGTCTCAAAAAAAAAAAAAAAAAAAAAAAAAAAAAAAAAAAAGTAGCCACCACGGTCATATTGCTACTGCTGTCACAACTGTGATAAGTTTTAGCTTTTGTGTCCTTGCTCTCCCTGCTCCCCTTTTTTTCTGTAGTATTTGTGGCGTAGTCATTTAAAAGAAGCTAAAAATCCAGTCATCTTGACAACCTAGTTGTCACTAACCAGGACAATTTTTTTTTTCTTTTAGAAGGGTCTCCCTCTTGTCACCCAGGCTGGAGTACAGTGGTGCAATCTCGGCTCACTGCAGCCTCCGCCTCCCAGATTCAAGTGATCCTTCTGCCTCAGCCTCCTGAGTAGCTGGGACTACAGGTGTGCGCCACCACGCCCGGCTAAGTTTTGTATTTTTAGTAGAGACGGGGTTTCACCATATTGGTCAGGCTGGTCCTGACCTCAGGTGATCCTCCCGCCTTGGCCTTCCAAAGTGCTGGAATTACAGGCATGGGCCACTGCACCTGGACAATTTTAACTTTTGTTCTTTTCATCTTAGATGTTAGATACCACTGACTTATAAGATTACTTCCGGTGGAACGAGTGTTCTCTTAATTATTAATTATGTGCTCTAAGCCTTTGACTATAGTAGACAGCATGCCTTTTCCATCTTTGCATTTTCTAGCATCTGAAGCCTGGTGCACGATTGGTGCTCAGGAATGTTGGTTGGACTAAATGTGAAATAACCGAAGCAGTAGACCAGCCTCTAATGAAAATCCTTCAGGCTGGGTCTGGGATTGGCTGTCAGATCCTTGGTATTGCCAGGGACAGAAACCCATCTTTAGCATCAGCCAGAAGAGAAAAAGAAAAAAATTTGCAGAAGGGGGTCCTGGGAGAGGCTCACAGAGTTGAGGAGGAGTTTGGCAGTCCTTGGGCAGGCAGCAACCAGGCAGCTCTGAGGGCCTTAGGGATTCAGTCTCCCCTCAGCTTTGTTTCCTCCCTCCATAGGGAGTGCCCATGCATCCCTTTCTGCAGCCTCCTCCCTAATGGAGTGAGAGTTCTATACCCCATGCCTCCCTCCTCTTCCTGCCCCAACCATAACTCCAGTTTGAAAGATCCTGGGCAGGACTCCGGCCTGGTTGAGGATATGTAGAACCCCATGAATCGGAGTTTGTGTTTTGTCCTTCCTATCCTGACATGCTGGTATCTGAGGCCCTTGTGATCATTTTACTATGTCTGGAAAGGAGCTGTAAAGGGAGCTCTATAGCTATATTCAACCATTTAAATGGTTAACATACAACAGGTAAAATTTGTTCTGCGGTTTCCAAAGGTCAGGACCAGTAAGCCAACACAATAGGAAGACAGAATCTGGCCTGATAAGAGATTTACCAGTCAAATGTCCTACCATGAGTTCTCCCACCATGGAGTACACAGTAGAAGGGGCCACTTTTGACTGCTTTTGGGGAATGGCCTTGGGGAAACATCTGTTCCTGGGCCGCTCCACTGTGTTCCACAGGGCTGTGAGGCATCTCGGGAGCTGGTGCAGTCCCTGTTAGGGTCTCTCCGAGCAGAACTGGAGGGCCTGAGAGGTGGGTGAAGGGAGAAAGTAGATCACCTTCGTGTCCTTTTTTACCATCAGGCAATTGCAGACCTTCAAGGCAGAGGTAGCAGCTCCCATCCCCAAGGCATGCAGCAGAGATGAAATATGACATCTTATACTTAGCATCAAAAACACCACCCAAGGAAAGGAAGTAGCAAGAGAGGCCTTGTTCAAGAGCAGGTGAAGATTTTGTTGCCTGCTGGTCCCAAACACACCAAATGCAAGGAATGGCTGCCAAAGGAAACAGCATTCCGAATGGGGGAAAGCCATGCCTGCCCTGCCCCGTGTGGCCCGCCTTCCTCACTGTCTCCAGCCATCCCTGTGGGGAGCTGACTGTTGGGGGGCACTCTAGATGCTGTGTGGCATATAGAGAGAGGTCCAGTACCACTTCTGCAGCCCTGACCTGCAGGGATTGGGAGTCTAAACAGGGACAACAAGACAAGTCCCTTAAATGACAGTGTTCAAGAGTGGGCTGTAGGGGGGCGCCCCTGATCAGAGAGAGGCTTTGCTGAGCCAGGCCTGGGGGATGGACCCAAGGGGCCCTGGGAGGGAGTTGTGAGAGCTTCTGATATCGTCCCTTCATTTGGGGCCTCCTTGGAACGTGGGTGGCATTCTGTAGGGCATTATAGAGGAGGGGAAGACCTAGCCAGAGCTGAGCTGCTCTGAGGGGCTGAAGGGGCAGCGTGGGGACACATTTAAAGTGGCAGGTCCATCAGGTGGCAGGTGTCTGAGTGAGAGGTGATGGCAGCCTGGAGGTGAACCTACTGGCAAGAGAGGAAAGGTTGCAGGAGCATGCGGCCTCCCATCTGGAACCGACAGTAGGGTTCTCATGTGAAGAGTTCTCATGACAAACCAGAGCTTACCTGAGGGAGCATGACCATAGTGCCCGAGGGTCTGAAGGTGCCCTAACCGAAGTCACTGATTGTGGAGGAGGGCAGCTTTAGTGATGTGTCAGCCATCTGCTAACAGAGGTGGGTGGGCAGGGGCCAGAACCAGGAGTCCAGGGCTGGTCCCCATGTACCAGGAGTGACTGGGAAAGCTCCATCGGGGCGGCCAGAACTTGAGGGAGTCTTGGGTTACCTGGCAGGAGCAGGGGTGCAGGGTGAGGTGAGCACCCACATGGTCAGTTTGCCTAGGCGTGGCTGTCATTCTTTTGCTCTTGGTTTATCATAACATTTTTCTTCTAGGTAGTATCACCTAGCATTTATTACTTTTTTCTTAGTGTATTTTTATTAATTTTGGTCAAAATTTTTATTAATCATATTTTAAATGCCAGGTATTCTTCTACATGTTTTACATGTGTTAATATTTTAATGTAAG